ACTACTACTACTACTACTACTACTACTACTACTACTACTTTCTGTGACCCCTTCAATATTAAATCTAGCCGTGGACTTAATCTTACGAGTACAGAAAGTGTTGCCACCCAAATAGCTGTACTCTAAACGTTAAGGAAAACAACAAAAACAAAATAAAACAAACTGTTTACTCTTCTGACAGTACCATGCCCACAGCCAGCTACTAACTGTTTGAACGAGACTTTCAACAGAGTCCTCGCCAATCTGGGCTGCCTCGGCTGTCAGACAGGTTGTCAGCCAGGCTACAGAATGACGGCCAACCCACGCTACTACGTCACAGAAGGTGACACCAAAGGGACTTACGATTATCAGAATATTTCCATTCCCAAGTCGAAGAATGTGTAAGTAAATATCTGGATTTATAGTCACAGCGCTTGTCTACAGTCGTGGATTTGCCTAACGTCTTGGCCCTCTAGTGCTCACAACACGAAGTGCTGACATGAACATTTATTTTGACCCTATGCTGATACTTGAAAGGCAATATAAATGAAACTTTCTAAGATTTATTTTTTGATTAAATGAAATTCATAATGTTTTGACCCCCCCCCCCCCCCCGCCAACAAAGAAAAACAACAACAACAACCGCAAAAGAAGGTTAAACAACTCCTCTTTAATTTCATTTGCCAGTCTGCTCATTCCAAATTACCTTTGCCGTTCCCAAGGGATACATCGTGTTTTTGCTTGTCAAGTGCAGAAAGCTTTCACCTGCAGATTCAGTCACAGCAGTAATGGATAAACAGAAGAAACTGGAAACAACATAGAAAATTCAGAAGAAGTATAAGGTCTAAAAAGAATTCTGACCTCGTGACATCACAACAGCACTTTCCGTGTTGTTTGTTTACGCAATAGTACACGCCCTGATATGAAATCGTTTAGTTTTATTGAAATATTACAGCACTCTCAACACAAATAAGCAATACAAGTTCTGAAGATAAGAGGTGTTACAAGAGAGTAGCGTGCACGGAAGAGGAAAAGGAGAGATAAGAACGATAGATCTTTGATAGGAAAGAAGGAGCAAACCTGACCATAGCGATACGAAACCATTTTCTTCTCATAGAATATAAATGGTGTCTTAGATACTTTTTCTGATAAGCATCAATAGTGGTATAATTCTTTGCAAAATCTATAATATACTTTTTTTTCTTCTCTTTCAGATCGGAACCCCAATGGCTGTGCATTAAAGGAGACACCTGTCAGTGGGGTTATTATCCTTCCAAGCAAGGAAGCATAGATGAATGTGCCTGTAAGTGTTGATGAACAGCAGTTCCCTTTCTTTATCATTTAACAACGCTCCGAACCCATAATAATATGTCAGATCAGTTGCAGGCCAAAGGCCAAAGTAGTGGCACGTTCTGAATTCACATTCACAAATCAGATACATGAGTTTACATATTTTATAGTATGCATGCTGTCGATTGATATTTTTAGCTTTGCAATAAAGAAAACAGAATTGACAAATCTGTATTATAAAGAAATTATACCCCCCAAAACAGTGTCTTCGAGCGTTCTCGAATGATCACAATGCGCGTCCTCTGAAAGATGCCAATGATAAGATAAGTGTGCCTACGTTAGTTTGGTGAACAACAGTTCCCCTCCATAGGAGACATTGATAAGTGTGACTATAGGCGTTGACGAGCAGCAGTTTCATCAATAGTAGATATTGATAAGCGAGCCTGTGAATGTTGATGAACAACAGTCTCCCTCCCCCCCCAACCCCCG